ATCTATCAAAACGCCTGCCATTTGAAATAAATAAATATGTCGAGTTTTATTCATTTTAGTCTCGTTATTTTCTCAAGTGGTAAGTGATTAAACGAATACATGGCCTTGACTGTATCTTTATCTTGTGGAAAATTCGAGCGAATTCGTTCCATAAATTTTGATTTACTAATTACTCACCTCCGATTAAAGAACACATGCTTTCACTTTCCTCTTTTTTATTGTTTCTTGCTATTTTCCCTAATTTCATATGCTTCTATTGCAAATTCTCAAAGAAATAGACGCGTATTGCCTTTAATTTCCAAACTTGTGTAACATAGTGATAACGGATGAGTTCATCTCCTTTGTAATGAGTAAGACTTTATTCGTTGCTATTAGTGGAATAATTACTGAAATCAAACTAGTAATTTATCAGTTGATAGGGTATTAGTTCCGCTCTACACTGCCTCTGTGATTATGCTACCTTAAGTATCCAACCTGATTAGTAAAGCCAACTAAAGTATAAGTATTGTTATTTATTTTTTTATTTATTTTTATCAAATGGCAGGCATTTTGATAGTTATCATTAGCCCTTTAGTTGACTTCAGGCTTCACAGAGGGGAAGGAATATCAAAGCGAAAAAAAGTCGAGAGGGGGGGGGAGTGCAGAAGAGTGATTCAAAGATGTAAAAGAGACAGACACAAAGGTAGAAAAAAAAGGTGAGGTGAGTACCGCGAAAGTAGTCGAATATGACATACACTGGGGTGATGGTGGTTTGGAGTCAGAAGTCAACTGCCGGTTAATAGACTTTTTTGCCTTATGAGTATACGTTGCCCAGGGTGCACCACGTGGAGGTAAGTCTATCGCACAGCCCGTATAAGTATTGTTAATCTTATTAAACTCATTTATTTTCGCCTACTAGCAGACTTTACGTATTAATTCAATAACTTAATAACGTCATTCGTTTTTGTTAACGCTTTCACAAATACAGAGATAAGCCGCATTTTACTTTTCCATATTGATTAATCCTCTTTTAAAATTTCTTTAGAAATCTAAAGCATACATCAATCACACCTTCTATTTGTACGAGTTTTCGGCCTATTTTATATCTGTTTCTAAAGTATTTCTGGTGACTGTTCTAACCTGACATAAAATATTACTTCTTAGTAATTTTAAGTAGTAACAACTGCAGAAAATAAAATTATGATTTCTTTGCACTTTCACTTGACTTTGCACCATTGATTATCATTTTAGTTTATTACAAATTCTATATCCTAAATTTGTTTGGCCTAAGAAATTTATCCTGCTTTTATTTTTTGGTGTGGGAAAATGAACTCATTTGTACAATTAAACAACCTGATTGTTCTCACTTGGCATTCAAATTCAAAATTGCATGGTAATTTGTGTTGTTTAAATCATTTGTATTGTCCACATCGCGTTTCCATTGTTGAGCATATGAGCATTTGCACCCTAAATAAGATTAATTTTTTCGTCCGTTGAATCTACTACAAAAGTTTTCCTTTCTATTAGTAGGTAGTTTTTTGGTATTACCTTGCGTCTCATCTTTTCATAATGGCAGCAAGACAGTAAAATTTCCATCTATAGTGGTCGCATACCTAAAATGATGCATTGGAATTTGCAATAGTCTGTTTTTATTGTATCTTTGTTTTAATGATTATTTGAAAGACATTTTGTGTTGTCTCATAAACTCAATCTCATTTTAGCTTAGTTGATATAGCTGAGGTCGGTACACATAATTTTATGATTTTGCGATCATTATCAAATGTTATTTTGAGAATAAACTTCATCATATTTTTGTAATTTTCATATTGATTGTACAATTTTTTTGCATTCTGTTTCACCTCACACTAGTACAATAGAATTTTGTCGGGCAATTATATCTGCTATTCACGCCAGTGGCGTAGCATTGAACTATTAAGGCAGTAGTCAGGACACCAAGGCCATATCACTTTAGAAAGTAATCTTTTACCTTAACGTGGTTATTTAACATTAATTGATCGATGCTAAGGTGATTTTCTGTTGGAATTGGTTTAATTAAATGAAGTCTGTTACGCTAGACTAAAATATGATAAGCCACATGTTTTTAAGACTTCGACTGATTTACGCAGGGTAGAATTCTCCTTACAAGTGGAATATTCAGACGCCCAGTCTACGCGGTAACTGCTTGCGCAGAACATTAGGTCGTAGCCTCCTGTCCACTTATGACTCATTTGTGTGCGGCAACGATGATTCAGCAGAACATTTTTACTTTTGCGTTTTGGCAGCCACCAGCCTGTACCTGTATGGTAATTGCGTAGTTTCTTTCTCGCGGTAATTTGATAAGGAAATCTGCGTGGAATAAAGAAAAGTTAAATCGAATTTTGAACAAACGATGCATAAAGTAGGTGTGTTTTCGTTTGTTAACTTTGGCCAACAAGGACTATATGAATGTGCTCTTGTACTAGCTTGCATTTATTCCTACATTTTGTCAAATATCCATGGAAAAAAGAAATTTTAATTAAATAAATGTGGGGAGGATGACGAATTGATGATTTGTTTTTCGCTTTGACAGTGCCTGGATGGCCTGTGTAATCAATATCTTGCTACTCGTTTTCAGAGTTTAAGTACGCATCGTTAAATCGCACTTTTAATCACAAATAAGCATTTTCTGGTTGGTTTTTTGTGACTAACCGGCACACACCCATCATGGTTATGTTAAATACAAATTCAGAATTCGTAGAAGGAATTTGAACCATGCATTGGCATTAATCAGATAAGCATTTGTTATCTTGAAAAGAACGATCTTTCCCATTTCAATATGTTCTACGTCTTTTGGGGAGTAGCATTTATATTTTTTTAGGAGCACAATTCAATATGGTTCTAATTGGTGAAATGTCAGTATAAGAAAAACCGGTAGAGGTGCAGTATTTTTTCTTGTATTCTAGTATTATTGATATTACCATTAATACTGGCAATTACAGTGAAAGAAAAACTTTCTGGTGTTAATATTGGGAAAGTCTCTGGATAAGGAGATTGACAATTGAACCTGATTATAAATTTTCATAAATCCACTCCCAGATTTATGTGTTGCTTGTTGATCTACTGAATTAGCTCCGTGGTTGTTCAACTACATCGATTTAGTTACATGCCGTTTCAACCTAGAACAGGTAGACTAAACTGGCAATAGTTTTTAACGTGACCCAGAATTGTAACGAGAACAATAATAGATAGTATTGAATATCGCAGAAAGTAATTTACTGCAATCCAGGGCACCGATAATAGAACTCGGATTTCGGAGTTTAGAATGTGCATTTGGTAAATATTGTACAACTCCGAGTTCAAAATTCAATTAACTTAAAACTCTTCGATATCTTTAATTATCTTTTGACTTCCTGTTAAGCGTTTTCAGTCATTTTTTGCTATTAATAATTGTAGGAATTTCACAATATTACTTTGGATGTAAATAATTCTTTACCATTTTTCCAACAAAGTCGTCTCTGAGTACTTAATGCATCATGTTTTATCTAGTGATTTACAAATTCATTTAGTTTTCACACCAAGTGGTTTTTGGCGCGCACTGTCTCTGTATTGATTATCGATTCGTTAATTAATTATTGGCCTCAAGTTGGTGTTAAAGCAAATTCTTGTTCTCCATTCGATTCTTTCGTGCAATTTTATTAAATGCGCCTAATTAGATTATTTGGTTATATTGGTTGGGAAAATATATGTTCATACCCTTTTTTCCAGCAAATATTAATTTGAATAGATAAAGAAGTGAATTATATAAACAAACAGGCAATTTAATGCTTTTGTCAATTTAGATTTACTCCGTGTTTGCCCATATACACACACACTTGCATACATACATACACACGAAGAAACCAAAATTCACGACTCTCGTGCTTGCTGTTCTAAAGTGTGAGAAAATTCAAGGCGTATAAAACTACCAATTGGAACCCCCTCATCTGTAATCGGTCAGGGATCTAATAACGTTAAGATAAGTGGACTCTGTCTACCACCCTAATTAAAATTCAAGCGATACTGATATGAATGATTATGGCCTTGGTAGAATTATTGGAAATCGATTACCATTGTCTGGTCGTTTGCTTGTCGTCTAAGTTAATTAAACTAGGCTGCGTAAGTGAAAATATCAGGGGACATTTTCCCCTTTAATCTACGGTTCAATCATTGAATTTCTCTAATGAAGCGGCATTCAGTTTGCATTTTTATAACGACGATCTACTTAACTTGCCATGTCTTTAAATTATTGATGGCTCAATGGTCAATGCACTTATCCAGTGGTCTGGGAGACCGGGCGTCCGGATTGATTCTGATTAACGTGAGGTGGTAAATAGAGTCTTGATGATTGCACTTCTTTCCAAGTTCAGTGCTGTTAATACTTGTCCTAATGGGCTTAAGCAATTTATATTGAATTCAGGATTTCCAACTTCACATAGGCTCTCATTAAGTTCTGCCACCACTACCGCCTAGTATTATGAGCAAAATCATACTATCCATTTTTATTTCTATCATTTCCAGTCCGCAAGCCCGAATTCGCCACTTAAGGTTACTTCAGATGGAACCGGGGATATACGAGATGGACTTGAGCGAGTGCACTTGACTTCATCAGACAGTGGAGGGGGCGGTTCAATCACCGGAAATCCCAAGGACAGTAACTCGTTGGTCCAAAAAGTACCCATTCCCTTTTCAGTGGGTGGCAATTCAACAGGTTTTGCAGTAGGAGAAATCGATAAAGTACCATCTACTGAACGTCTCATAGGGGATGGTGGTTCTCCCTTACCTGATAGCACTGTAATGCTTTTAAAACTGCACAGCCGATTAGGTCGTATTCTACAAGAAGCCTGCGACCTCCACAAGCAAATCGGTCATCTCCTAACTGCCACCGCGATTGGACAGCAACCATCATGAGAAATGCTCGAGCAGAATTATGCGTCTTATTTGACTTTGAAATTGCAAACACACTCAACCCCCCCCCCTCCATCCCTTTCCTTAAATACTTGATACTACAATTTCTGCGCGAGATGTATTATTGCCATACTAATTCACTTTCTTTATCTGTAATGTGGCCAGTGTGCATGCTACCAAAAATGTGAACTCACTAGTATGGAAGAAGAGATGGGTTGCACAAAAGTTGATTCGTGAACATTGTGAAGCGAATAAATTTACGGTAAAGAATTCACAATATGTAAATACCAGTTGCTGTAGCCTGCCGTAGAAAAGCTTTCGCGTCTATAACAGTAATAATAGAATGGATCATGAGTCAAAGCCGACTGCCAAAGATAAACCCAAGCAAGGGGGAACTGAACATGCCTCCTGAGGGATAGTAGAGTGGAGTCTGTTACCGTAATTGTTGCTCAAAGGGAAGGAAACAATTCGAGTGGCCATCCTAGAACATTAAGTTGCCACATTCTAAACCAGGAATACAGCTTGATGACAGCCAGCAACCTCCCAAGTTGGACTCGTGAGGAAATATGAAGCAAGAGGAAAAGCCAGTTCTTGCTTTCAAGCAAGATCATTAGCAAATGAACACTACATTTAAATGAAATAACTTTACCATAATAACACGAGAATCCCAAACAAAATGTGAAACACTACTACTTACAAGCCAAAAAAATTAGAGCACTAGTAATTCAACACGGGGCAAATATATTGAGAAAAGTTAGATAATTGCAACAAAGCCAACATTATCGTAGAGGGGAAGTGTAGACAGGAGTACAACGCATTGCGTGAACTATACAGGAAAAAATTGTGACTATAGACACATAGCACGAATAAAACTGGAGACAGGTGGGAGTTGATAGTTTTGTTCATTTGCACGATTTCACTTAGCTTTGTATGCGTATTATCTATCCATGCTTCTTAAGCAGAAGCTTGACCGGCTTCTTGGCGCGAATGTGCCTGATGTTGTCCGTCGAAACCTCCTCGAGGATGGAAAGAACCGCGTTGACCACCACGACCGCGTCCACCTAAAAGATGTAAGCATAAACTAACAAAAAGCAATACATTTATTAGATGAAAAGATGATAAGAACAAACCTCTAAATGATCCATTACCACGTCCATCCCTACCATTACCTCTAAAACCACCCCTTGGAGGGCCTGAGCGATTTCCTCCGTTTCTTTCTCTAGCCTCCCTATTGTTATTGTTAAATCCACTACGAGGAGGTCTGTGTTCCCTCGGTTCACGAGATTGTCCCGATTTAGAACGAGGCTGCTCGAATTGTGAATGATGGCCGCCATTTTGGGTTGTTTCAGCAGTTGATGGAGCCATCTGCTGACTGGGTTGCGATTTAGAAACAGAAGATTGAGCTGGAGTACCTTTTCCAGCACGCACGCGATCAGCCCATGTTAATGGTTGATTACTGGTTTCTTTAGCAATTTCCTTCTGCTCAGCAATTTGGGAGTCCATCAAGGATTGAAAAGATGGTGGTTGGGCGGTAACAGTTTTTTCCGGCTGACGTGACAATGCCTTAGTCTCCGTAGGTGATTCCGATTTGGACTTTGAAGCTTCAACTTGAGAAGCTGAATTGGAAGCAGAGACAGGGTTTACTTGCTCAACAGATTTTGTGGCAGAACGTTTTTGTACTTCAGGAGCGGCAACCTGGTGCTTCCTTTCAACAGAAGAATGCGGTAAAACAGGAACTGTTTCAGCAGACACCTGACTTGTTGGCGCTACTAACTGCTGTTGTGCGGGTTGAGTGACTGGAGGAACAGGTGTGAATTCATGCATAACTGGCTGAAAGAGAAAATATGCATGAGATATAGATTATCGATAAAATTAACAAATACGAAACACACCTGTACAAAGTTAAACTCCGACTTCAGAGGGTTTATGACCTTGCTCAAAAGAATATCAGCCTGTTGCAAAGGAGCAGAAGGTGCTACGAATCTTGCATCATTAACTTTGGCTGGCTCAACATTGTCACCAGTTGATATCGGTTTGGCAGATTGCTGCGCAGGGACATGTTTTGGCTCTTCTGGGGCGGGACGAGGAAGCTGATTAAGTGAATGCAAAGCAGCACGAACCTCTTCTTTGACTAGAAGTTCATAGCAATATTTTCTAAGATCGGAAAACGTTGGCGACTTCGATTTGCCGTTTTTGCCACTGACCAAGGGCTCCTGGCTACCACTGGCTAGCTTGAAGAGAAACTCAGCCGGTGATTGGAAGCAGTTGGTAGAGTCAATGGATTCCAACTTAAAACTGGCAGGTATGCGCACGTGCATCACTTTGGCCGCACTCTCCAACGTTTTGTAATCCTTGAAGCTAGATGCCTTGATGATAGCCTCTTTCACTACAGGCACTTGAGACTTTGATAACAGTTCCAGAAGTGGGCTGACCTTTCGAAGAACGTTAACAGTATAATCGTCACGCTGAGCCATCAAACGGGCCTCTTTCTCCACTATAGCATTGGCAACCTTTTGCTGGGTCTCATTGACGGCGTCTATGATTTCTTTAATGGTGTCAATAAATTGGCACACAGAATCGAACTCATTTACAGCGTTTGCTTGATCAGGAGTGATTTTGCCACCTTGGCTTAGAATGCATTTATAGGATTCAAGCTTAGCCTAAAAATTAAGATGTTATAGATCGAATCATACTTTGCGCTTAAGCAAGTTCCGTTGCCTTTTCTCCAAATTATTGGTAACTTCGGCAATAAGAGCCGATGGATTTGAACATGATCCAGACATGTCTATAGCACGTAATGAAGAAATAACAACTGTAAAGCGAGAAGCAGTTTAGATTAGTTAAACAAATCATAATAAAAAATTATAATTAATATCCTATTGAAAATTAATATTGAGGAATTGTTTTGCGTGAAAAATTAAATTTATGATTTTATCACTATTTTAAAATTTTAACTTTGTTATAGACTTTTATAAACTGCTTTAACACTGAGATTATTTGTCGGAAATGCTGCAAACATCTGTCAGACCGTACATAATAAATGCAAATGTTCCTTGTTTTTTTAATTGATACTATTTACATACGCGAAGTCATAGAGAACTTAAAATTTAAACTTCTTTGTACATTCTATCTGAATACGTGACTCATTTCATTTGAAACTGTTCGGTTTTTACAAAAAATTTTTAAAATATAGAATATTTTGTGTTGTCTGAAATTATGCACTTGCAATTTAATCAGTAGCAACAAGCCTTGTTTTAATAATAATGCATAATACCTTTAAGATTTCCCTTATTATTATTATTAAAGTCGAATTACCAATGCTATTTAAATACTATTTTCAATCCTATTCAGTATAAGTCTACACATTTCATTTCATCATAACCACCTTGAAATTTGAAACAATTTATTGATCGGAAACGATGTATGATTTGTCGTTACTCCGATTTTAACCACTTTGCTTTTTCCTATTTTTATCCGCAGAGCAATGTTTAGATAACTTTATTTTTATTTTCTCCAAGGCTATATTGGATGTCCCCATTTTCATTACACTAACTTATGTTTAATATATTGCACCAATATATGCATAGAAAATTTGACTTGATTACCGAGTATACTCAATGAACTCCTTTGTTCTATTTTAGTCTTTATGAATCTATTGGCCTTTTGGAAAGTAAATTATCATTTAAAGCAAAATTGACTTCGAATCTCCCGAACCTTTATATCAATAAAAATGAAGCGCAGACTACCTATTTGCTACATTTACGCTTTTAATTACTAAGAGTAAATTTGTGAAGGTATCCTCCGATCCGAACTAATCATCCCTCTTGAATTAATTTTGATCGTTTGGTCATTCATTTCTTTTCGATACGATTACCACGTACAGCAATGTTTGATTTGCATATTTTGCTCTGAACATTTGCTGGACAATCTTGTTTCCTAGTATAATTACGATAAAAATCTATTTGACTGTCAAAACGTGTTTTCAAGGCAATTTTAATCAAACGCTCATAGAACTTGTATTATGGTGAAATTAATCATGTCTAGTAGCTCAATTCACAGTTATCTGGATGTTCATCTAACCAATATTCTGTAGGGTTCCAGATTGAAAACGGCTTGCCTGAACAAAATCGTAGAAAATTCAATCAGCATAACTTCGTCTCATCGGCAAACAACCGAGATATGAATTAACAGGAGGAATTGGTAACCATTCACTGGGAGTTCTTTTAAGATTTTTCCCCGTTCCTCTGGTTGCTCTCACATTAGAATTCGACCGAGCTTGCTGATTAATCGATAAGTTAAAATTGGCTCTCAATTCAGATAAGAAATTTTTCGAAAAATTAGTAATTGGTGCAACTGGTCCGTCATTCCATACACAATCAAAATCTCCAATTCGTTTTTCGTCTCCACTCAATTGACCTTCCATATCGATAACGCTTAAAGTGTCATCCAAAAGTTTCACCTGTAGCAAAAAATAAAACTGTACTAAGACATCTGTCTGAAAAGCTTAAAAAGCATATATATTGTCCCCAAGACAATTTTTATATAAAGTTTTAAGCGAATATGTGCCGCAAACTCAGCTACAATTAATCGGCATTTTTGGTCTATTTTTGTCGTTTAAGTAAAACATGACTTTATTGCAAAACCGAACGAAGTGCTGGTTTAAAGGCGTAAAATTATTCTGTCCCCCCTTCTCGATTTTTGTCACTTTGATGTCCCTCCACCTCTTTGTGAAGCCCGAAGTCAGCTATAGGGCTAATGATAACTATCAAAACGCCAGTCATTTGAGATAAATAAATAAATGATTTTCGAACTTGTACACAAACCACAGAATGCCAGCCTAGTATGAGGATACATTTATTCCACAAAGACTAAGGTGGCAATTGAAATAGAAAGCTATCATCAAAACCCCCTATTCTGGAGTACCCAAATTAGACCAGGGAATTACTTTGTGCTCTTTTCATCTCCGGATAAGTTCTCACTTGGCGTGTTAATGGAGATAATATACACGGATTATTTAAAGTTATTGCATTGAGATTGCATTTAAATAGACAAGAGCATACCTTTAGATTATAGTCTTCTGTTGAACTAGCAGTGAGTGATGGAGAGGCGTTTATCTCGAGAAGCCAGGGTTTCAAGTTGTCATCAACAAGGATATCATAGCCGTAGAGTTCAAAGCAATGCTTATCACTGATCATCACTTTTTGAACACTCAAAAGACTCATCAGGAAGATCTTATCAATTTCACGGAATAATTGCTTGACCTAGTTGGAACAATTTAGAGGAAAAAATAAAAAAGGGAAAATGGTGAACGAAATTTTTTCATATGCGTACGTCTTCTTTAGAGTGACTTCCTTCATCACAAAGGGATTTCATGCAAACAGTCGGTCATCTTCTTCAACGCAAAAACATTTCCTCTGAACTTGCGTCTATTAAAGGTCTTCATCCAGTATATATCCTTTGTCTTTTTCATGCCTACCAACTATCGAAAGTGATAGAAACTTGGATTGGGAATGGAGGGGGGGGGGGTTAGGGATGTAAGGAAACACATCTAAGAAATCAGCGCTGAGACACTTAGCTGTCCTCACCTCATTACACATACTAATCCTTTGTACTCAGATTTCAAAGGAGCGCGCCTAGTTCAACACGATCCCTCGATGTTCTGATTACTAATTGATGAGACTAAAACAATCGAACCAACTGCTGGATAATGTTACAACTATAGTCCTATATTAGTAGTTGGTATATGCTTTGCAAACAAGTTTGCAAGACAGAGATTGAACCCTTCTGTCAAGGAGAATCTAAGTCGGATTCTTTACAACTCAGTATTTTTAAATTTTTTCTAACCCTTTACCTCTTTAATAATAAACTGGTATTAATTAACATACTTTAATTGGCGTTTCTTTGCTAACAACTTTAGAAATGACCCAAATTTACAAAATTATCGGAAAATAATGTGAGTTATTAAATTTCGATTGCATTTTAGCTTGAGTAATCCTTCGCTTTAGATAGTTCATTGACCATGGCAACAAGTTAGAATCATGGTCACAAAAGGGTACGCAGCCTTCAATGGTGCTCAAATCGCCTCAACTGGGTGCACTGTTCGAAATTTACGAACAAAGCGTGCAAAACAGTCAACTTCGCAGCCATATTTAAATGCAGGGTACACCCTTGTTCTGCAATTTTAAGTCTTTCTTCATAAACATTTTTGTAACTCCCACATCCCCATCCCTTTTCAATAATCCTAAGCATCCATGATCAAGCCCAAATTTCGATCTTCTAATTTTGGTTGGCCTTAAGAGAGATCGTTGGTTTTTCTTGGGAATATATCTAAATCTAACTTGATCGGGTGACTTTAGGATGACTTTGAGCGAAATGGATTGGTTGTGCTTTTTCACAGCCAAAATTCCAGAGCAAAACATCAAATATGCGAAGAGATTGAGCTAAAAGCAGTAGGACTTAAATGAACCTTCTCGTTTCCGTGTTTGGCAATCAGGTATCGACGAAGTCGACAAATCGACCACTTGCACCCCATCGCTGCGTTATAATCCGGCGACGTCTTCTGAATCGCTACATTTGTCAGATGGACATCTAGTTATAAGATAAAATTAAAAATAAAATAATGTTTAAAATAATATCAAACAAAAATCAAATGCAACATTTTGTAAAGCTACATTGATTGTTGATTGAGTTCATCGAGAAGCCAACGTTTGACAGTCTTGCAAAACCATCCCGATAAACCCACGCTTTAAGAGGTTGAAACTAAAAAAAATTAATGAAAAAATTGAAATATGGTGAAATTTATTTAGGACTTTGTCAAGGTAACGCACTGAAGTAACCAGGACAAAAACACGTAGATCGAATTTTCTCCCACCGATTAAATACGGATTCTCAATGTATCGTGACACGACGTAATGCTCAGGGCCTTCATTTGAATCTCCATCACTACAGTTTTCAACCTTGAAATGTAAATTGAGGCTTAATTTACTAACTTTGCCAGCGGAATAGAATGGAGAGCTTTTCTTCCACGCTTCAATGTCCTTCAATTTCCGAAAGAGAAATATACCCCTCCCTTGAGATTTAGCAATGGGTTTCATAATCCAAATAAAATTTGGATTTTTCTTGAATTCTTCAAGAAACATGTGATATTCCATCTAGTTGAAACAATCAAAGAGTACTTATATTCTTACGGGTAGCTCAAAAGTTGTCGGAAAGAAATCGAATCTATGTTGCTAGGAGAGCGCAAACAATTTACTTACTCACTGGATAAATTTATACCTGATTTCTTCTCTACTTCTTTCTTTGCTCTCTTTAAATTTTTAACCATCAAGTTCTTCCTCGTGAGCTAGAAAAAAAGTAACCAATTATTTACTTGCTACCTCATAATGGTTACGGAAGTGGCATAGACGGACATGATCTGACAAAAATATATGATCATAATTATCTCGCATCCATTCGATATTACACCAAAAGAAATCGAAGTCATCATCTTCACTAAAAAGAGTGACGCAAATCATTAATTTTAATTTTAACTACGGATCCAGTTCCTGCCAACCCCTTTTCCTCAAAACATCCAAAATAGTATTAGTCAGGGAACAACGGAATTTTATAACACTAAAACATTATAAACAATTTCTTCATACTCCCTATTTTCTACTGATTTTTTAGAAACTGCTTTAGGATTCTGCATATGCACTGACCAATACAACCCTTCGGCTAATATGAGCACGGTGCCAATGGAGTTGTTGATGCTTCTCGAATGAAACAATGCAACAAGGTCAGATATTCAAAAAGTTTCAAGTCAAAAACTATGACACATAATTAATTATAAATAATCGGTCAATGATCATTGTTGTTATTGTTGAACGATTTTACCATTATTTGTATTGTGTTCTTCGTATCACCTAATTTTATCCAATTGAACAGTAATATGTTGAGTAAAACCTTTCCATATTTTATTCTTGATATTAGTAAGGTGTTAACTTCATGAGAAGGTACTTATTTGTTCCTTAATACTAGTTAATTTATTGATTGATTGTTTAAGGTCATCAATTAAGACCCGGGAATCAAGGGCGAGTAGGATTGTGCTTAATAACCTAAGTGATTTTTGTCGCCAAATTGTGTCAAAATCCGATGAAGTACAATACAAATTACTCAATGTATTAAAAGGAGGACATTTTTACGCTTGAATCAAAACGTACTTGTAATCTAGAAAATAATGGGAGACCATGAATGCTCTATCAATTCACTTCGAACATTCTGCAGAGGTAGCAAATTTACTTTTCGCCAAACGATTGTTGACGAAACCGGTCTTCCCCACGAACGACTGTTTCATGTCCAAACAATCGTATCAAATATATCCAAGAATTTGAATATAGGTATTTTCGATGGTTTCGGCCAGACTATCAAAATGGCCAAGAGGAATTCGGCCCTCTCGGCATTGACCACGTTAAAACCGGCAAGACCTTCTAATAATGATCCCAAAAAGGTGATTTTTATCGGTGCTTGTCATTTTCTAGTAATTATTTTCATTAACAACATTTTATCTTCATATATTTGATAAATTTTAGAATGAAGATGCCAATCTATTGTCAATATTAAAACTCAATGAGGAGGACCTTCTGACATCAAATAATTCTTACAGTGATTTAGTGGAGTTGGGGATGTTATTCAAAGTCCCTGTTCGTTTGCTTAAGTCGGGTCCGGATTATTGTGTTTCATTTTGTCATTGTACATTCGCATCGCCAATAAGTTATGTGGAGGCTAGCTACAAGGCTCTCAGAGTAAGCCTTTTTTATTTATTAATAATTTAACTGATTTTATTTTTTAAAGTAATTCTCGTTTTGAAGTACGTTGGAGCTTTACTTGTTAGAAAGTTTATTTCAATTTTCTTTCTTTCCACTTTATTATCTTTTTTTCTTGAGCTTGTGTTATCGAGCTGCTTTGGCCTTCCTTGCTTAAAATTTTAATTTTTTCTTTCTCTCACTATTTTATTAGCATTTTGTAATTAAATTTTGCCTGAATTCAACATTTTTGACACTTATCCGATCAAGAACTTTTTCTATGAACATTTGTATTTCTTAAAGTCATTTGTCAATGTGAGATGAATGTATAGTGGGAATATTTATGTTTTCTCCAGATCTCAAGATGTGCTCCACAAGTCTCAAGAATAGACTTTGTTGGCCCTTTTACCTTCATGTCTATTGATTAATAATTATTCTAATACTTATCTTGAGACAACATAATGAGCCCCTTCTTCAGCGCCAACCTAGCCAATGGGGTTGGAAATTGCCCTCACCGGGTGTGCACTAATGGTCATCGAACATACGCCCTTTCAATTCGCGTTTTTTTCACTCGCCATTTTTTACAAGTTTGCAGCACATTTTACGAAATAAATTCCATTTGTGTTAATTTTTTAAAAGCCGATAGTAGTTAAATTGTGGTCTTTTATCATCATTTCAATTTCCCACTTCCTTCTCTTTAGGCCATTCGTACACAAATTGAATCCCTGAATCAAATCTCCATTCAGAGTTATGCATGGCGAATTGACGTTGTTTCCCGTCTTCTTGGTCTTTCCCTCTCATTCGAAGTCGTATGTTTGTTGTTTTAGAATTTTTAGATTTTTTATATAGTCCGAACTGTTGAACCATCCATTGAGGTTTTCTGTGAACTGTATATTACCCCCTTTCACGAAAACTGCGGCATCCGCTAAAACAATGGAACGTGCGAAAGAACTAGCCTCTCGCTTGATGCTTAGCCAGCTCAAGAAATTCGAAAAGTCCCCATCAACCATATCCTCAAATTCCCAAAAATCTACAAAGCATCCGAAGAAATATAATAATCGTGTCAGGGGCTCTTCCGATTATTCTGGATCGTTGAATCCCGTTGAACGCCTAGAACTCATTCAACAAACTAATAAACAACCCGAACCCGTTTATAACTTAGAGGAGTTGTACCCTCCAGTTAAGGTGATCCTTTCCTGTGACGGCAATGAAGTGGTAAAATCTCGCCGTGGACCTATCAAATTCCTCTGCACTGTAAGTTAGAAGAAAAATCCATTCTTCTTATTATTTACTTATTTATTTCAGTAGTAAATTTCTTACTTTGAATTTCTACTAGTGTTATATTGGCGAGACTGCTATTCGAGGGGACGCGTACTGCAATAAGCGCTTAGCTAAAAGATCAGCTGCAGAAAAGGCATTAGAGACACTGGGAGTTGATGCCTACCGTCAGTTGAAAATCCAAAATAGTAGTGTTGTCTCCCATTCACAGCTGCCCAGTTCTTTAAAATCAGGTATAAGGGTAGTGGGCACAATTTCAACCTCTTGTATATTGCCTCTTTCTCAATCTGCTTATGCCAACTCGATCCATTTCTCTTAATGCAAGCATGTTTTTGTTTTTAATAGTAAAGAATTTATGGTCTTCTTATGGGTGGTATGCTTGCATGAGATTAAATGAAGTAGGCAAGGTAGATATTGTAGACTTGATTTACACGAATCTTGGTCCCCTGCTTTGCCTGATCTGAGTTGCATTTTTGATATTTTTGGTTTGGTTTTTTAATCGAATACTCAGATTTAATGAGAGCATGGATACATTGAAATGACCAATGTAAATGTTTTTGAGCTATTCCTTAATAGATTTTTTAATTTCATTTCAGATTTCAAATTAAAAAGAGCCAAGGTAAGAATATATTGAAGTTTCTTTGTTTTCATGAATGCTTGTGTTAAAAGAATATAAATCAAAGAGGCTTTTTGCCTATTAGAACGTAAATATCACATTCATTTCACAGGATTCCGCTGTCTCAATCTCATGCGCCAAGGAAGTTGTTCTGTTTGATGCTGCGAGTCAATCAAGCATTAGGTTCACTCCCAAATCGAATAGAAGGTTTGTTGAAACTCCATTTTCCTAGAGTTTATCCTCCTTACTTCTCTTTTAGTGGTTAGGAGTTTGATAGCTTAGTTAAATTTCATAAAGGTAAATGGGACTTCCCTAAACCAGCTGTTTCACGTTTGCCCATGCCTGTTTCATATTGTTCTTAATAACTGACAGTATTCGTAGTGAAATAGTAATCTGAAGTTCAAACATTTAATTGACATCTTTTACTTTAAATTTCTAGGTCGAGAAGCGCGTATAGGCCTGAGGTATCCTCTTCAATGAGTCGAAATACTCCTTGCGCGACTTCTGTTGGAATAGACACCTTTGCGTATGAACTTAATCTTCTGGTAAATTTATTGGAATTGTCATTTTTTATAAACCTTAAAATCTAATTTATGCAGATAAGAGTATGGTTTAAGTCGTATTTTGTTTTTTTCATTTTTTTTACATTTTGGCACGATTTTCATATGTTAAATCGCGGGTCTTTTTCAATAGATATTTTTGCTTAAAAAGGGGTATTTTAGAATGGGAAAATTTCAAGGTGGAGATAATGGAGGAAAATATTTTTATTTAACGAACATAGATAAAACGATTCCCTTTTGATTACTAACAGAAAAATTAAATGAATTTAGGTAACAAGAGCAAGTATGAAAGCAATTAGAAATTGATAAAAAAAGGAGCTCAAAAGCTAATGAACTTGACTTAGAATATAAGAAGGGGTAAATTTGTCTTAATTTCGAAATATGTGGCAAATTTTACGTGCGTGTTTAGAGGATATTTAACATAGCATTATTTGCTTTGGATTTAGAGCGTGGCTCCTCGTGAAGACGGTTATTGCAAGAATCCCAACGGTAATATTATCGTTTTTTACTATTGAAGTAGTTTAAATTGTATTTATTAGTCTTTTGCCTATAAACTACATATAGAAAGTAATCAAGAGGTGAAAGGTGAGGAGGAACCATTGCCAAACCCCCTCCAAGATATCGTGTCCTGGAAACTACTGGCAAGTCTTGCACGAGTTCTAACGTGCTGGGGGTCACGGGATAATTTATCTCCTGATTCTCAAGCTGTCAGTTTGGATACTCAACTACTCCAAATGTGTAACCGTTTCGGTATTCCTTGTCAGTTGGTGGAGCTTTCTGGAATGGAAGAGAAAAACAAAGGCTGGACGCCTCTTCAGGTTTATGCTTTGGTCATTCATTTGTTAATTGAAGAAGCAATGCTTTTTTTTCTTTGTGCATCCTTCTGTTTTTATTAACATCCCGTTCTAAACAAAATGGCTTTCGTTAATTGATTGAGATGCCAACTAATGCTAATTAGAATTCTTAATCGAGTTATCACTTCAGCCGGTGGTGAAATGTATCGGTATAAATCTGAGTACTTATTGTAGTCTTGCAATTATACGAGATTAAATGCTAAAACCAAAACTACAGCTCTTTTTTTCCTAATTCTCTCTAAAGTGTCTATATTTTGTAAATCACTAGTAAGTAGCAACTAATGTCATAATGAAGTCTTGAATTGTCTGTTGGCTTTATCGTCTAGTCAATACAAAATTTTCCCCCATAATTCTTATTTAAATTCTGTAAGCGTGATGAGTATTTAGGTTCTAGAGAGGATTCTCCAATTTAATTATTAATTACCAGTAGTACAAAAATAGATGCAAAAAAATTTGACTGAAAAAAAAACTAGAAAGAAGTGCTTGGCCTACTTGTCCCAACACACACTCCGCAGTAACCTAAAAGCTCTTCGAGAAAAGTGGCTTTAAAACTGGGGTGTGGAGAAGTGCTGGCTTAGCAGAGATGAGATTGGTACAAATTAACTATTCAATAGAATCTCTAGTCTTTCGGAACATACTAATACCCTATTGACTGTAATTTATGAACTCAATCTTTCATGGTATCTCTGTTTTTTTTAAGAATGGCAAATTTCATAAGTACGCGGAATCTGGCTGCACTTTTCTACTTCAAATTGGTAGAACCCACTCTGTTTCGCGTTTCTTATCATCTTCCGAGAGAGTAGGCGATAAATTTTCGGAATCCAATGGACCACAAACAAATCGTCTTGAATGTGGACACAATGGTAGAGGGGGTTGCTTCTTATCTACTGGTGCTAACAGAGCTGAGTGCCGACAGAACTTGGTTCTGCATGCCTTGAAATGTCTTATTGGCCCCACTCAATGATTAAAACAAAATTTGATTTAATCCATTGCATAAAGTGCCTTCGCTTTACTTATTGATTTGCTAGTGTTTAAAATGAAGCTGTCAGCAATCAACGAGGTTTTTTGTTGATTTGGCAAATGGATTTGTGCTTATTCCTCGTATATGCCTTTATTATCTTAAAAACAGATCATTTTTGAGTTGGATGATGTCTGTTTCCTTTTTGCCCAATCTCCTTTATTTGAGTCATGGTAATGACATTATATAGTGACACTGTTGCTTACTTCTTCAGTGACCCGGTGTTACATTTTTTCACAAATAAGGTGTCAACAGTTTTAGCAAAAAGCACTACATCGAATAGCCATTCCAAGAACTCACGAAATACTTTTATCGATTTAGGACAATAATGCATTTTGCCAGCGCAATTTATGTTTAGCCTGCTTTGAAATCGAGGTGACGATGATACATATATATATATATATATATATATATATATACATCCGATAAGTACCCAGACAGCCTTCACCGGTTGATTCAATAACTCATTGACTTATACATCTATTTATTCTGGGTTGCTAAAATGGTACAAAAATTGGAGAGGAGATAGCCAACCACGAAATCGGGTTAATGGGTATTGAAGGTCTATACCTTTTACACTTAAGCCCTACACCACCTTGGCTTCCATGCTCAAATTTCTTTCTGGAATTTAGCTCTTCAAAAGACACTTTGAGTGGATTCCTCTCCTGATATCCACGCAAGCGTTGAAAGGTCTATTTTGCTTTTAAAAACAGGATTACTAACTAATTATGAGATTGCGGTTTATACGTTAGTACCTGATATTGTTACAAAAGCAATTACCGAATTTGCATTAATGGCATAAGAAGGTTGTTAAGGCGAAACATAATTATTTAAGAAGGGTAAAAAATACTCTCCTCTTCCATATATTTCAGTTCCATCCGTTCACTAATCATCCACCCGCCTTAGGAGCTAATTATTGTTCCACCGGGGGGGGGGGATTGTGTGTTGATATTTTTCACGTACAAACAGTAACACGAAGGACAGGTGACAGAGAAGAGCCTCAGTTTTATTGAGAAAAAGCGACAATGACATGGCAAGGGTGGACTATGGTGTATTAATTAGGATCTGGAGATCGTTTTAAAGCAGTGCATCGTAGAATTTATTCTGAAAGTGTGCAATTTACTAGATGATAAACGACCTACCAATGGTAGTTTTATGAACTAAATTCATTATCTATCAACAACAAGAGTTAAAGGTGGATGAAAATCTATTACAAACGCGATTTTTAACTTGGAAATAATCATAATAGGGTGGTAGACCTGGTCAAATATCATCCCATCCAGGTCAATTAACTCCACTTGCAAAAGGTAGGAAGAAGGCAAAGACAGTGGCAGAATATTTGTGTTCGGAAAGGGATCCGTTGGATTGGGTAGTAAGATTGAAGAATGAAGCGTGAGTCAATAAGTAGGATACTTTTTGAGGGCTTAGTACTGTTTAAATTGAGATAATGGAGGCCGGCAACTGTGATAGGCCGATAAAAGAAATAGGTTAACGTAGGTCATGAGTAGGGTTCCTATAACCTAACTGGGTCTCGAACTAACAAATGTGGGACAAAGAGAAGTCATAATTAAAGAATTGAGACCTCAACTTAATAACGTACACAATGTTAAATACATGGGGTGTGCGATAGACTTGACTCCACGTGGTGCATCCTGGGCAGCGTTTTCTCATACGGCAAAAAAGCCTATAAACCAGCAGCTGACCCACCACTTTCACAGTACTCATCTTACCTTTTCTCTTCCTTTATGTCTGTCGGTCTCTTTTACATCTGTGAATCACTCTTCTGTTCTCCCTCTCGACATTTTGTCATTATCGTTCCTCCCCACTGTGAAGCCCAAAGTCAGCTAAAGGGCTATTGATGCCCAGCAAACCGTCTGCCATTTGATAAAAATGTTAAATACACACAAAGGGTGGAGTGGTGGTTGCCAGGATGCTGAGGGTGACGATGAAAGCGTGAATAATTGGCAACTAGTGGTAGTGATGGAAGGGGGGGTATGTGGAACAGTCGAGTAGAATACCCACCAACGACCTGAGTAAAGAACAAAAGTTCTTAAACCCCGGTTCCAACTTTCGCATCTACTTTTTTTACAAGACCATAATGACCAAATAAAGTATCCACCTATAGAATGCATCAATGGTCTATTTTTCTTTACATTGACAATCACTTAAAAGTAGACGTTGCTTCAAATTCATTCGAGTAGAGATCAACTTTGCTTACGTGATTTGTGTTATCAGTAAGCTACTGCCACACTTTTCATTTTCAACTTGCCTAATTTCAGAGATGGTTAAAGTATCAGTGGCTGCCAATTTATGTACAACATACTTGCATTTGACGCTTTCCTCCAATCAGGCGGCTAGATTAAAGTTAATTCATCGTTCAGATTATGATGCTGGATATGCCTTCCAACTAGATGACCAAACCGTTTACATATTTCTGCGTATACCTGTAATTTTAACTTTTTGTTTAAACTTTCATTGACAGGATCCCTATCTAAACAAAGCTCTCCTTTGGACGATTTCTGATAATGAGCACGAAAGCATGGAACCTCAAAATCTTTTCAAGGATCACAAACCAGATACACTAAATGTTTTCCAACAACTGATTACTATCATCCAATACTTCTGCGATAATTTTAAAGTCCCTTTTCCAACGGAACTTGCAGCTTTCGAAAGTTCCTACTATAATTGTCTCGTAATTTTTAATCATTTGATAAAGGTGTATGTAGGTCGACGTATGCGCTGATTTGAAGGGAAAAGAACTATTATGGGAAATAATGAATGCGAAATCTTGCAATTTCTCAGAAAAACACACAGATTGCTTCCAGTTATGGTTTGAATTGATTGCGGATAAAATTGTGCCATTTTGTAACTTCTTAACTCCTCCTTCTGCCGCTGAACTTGAAACTAGATACCTCGAGATTGCTGAGAATCAATTATCCAAGACGGAAACCCTATTAGCCACTCGAAAAGCTGAAACAGAGAATACTACTCACATCATATACAACAGCGCATATACGGATCTATATACCTCAGACGAAGCTGAAATCAAGAATTTTAGAGTGAAGGTAGCTGGAAATGGAGGGGGAATCGTATACCCTTACCCTAGTACCACCTCACCTGTCAGTGAAAGTGAGGGAAGCAATTCACCAAACGATATTAAATCCCCGCATTCAAACCTTTTAACGAGCAGCGATGAATGGGAATCGTTAGAAAATGGAACTGGAAAAATTTCCTCAAAAGCCAGCAGTTTAGAAGTTCAGACGGAATCTCCCACTGAACTTGATTCAATTGGAGGGACCATGTCGAGCAGTGAAAGCAAAACTCTATCTCCAAAATCAGACTTATCCTTCCAGTCAATTGGATCAGACATTTTATTTTGTGATTTTGAGGAAAACGAAGGGTCTAATTACCAATCACCTCCGTCATCTCCCTCATATAAACCATTCCATCCAAATGAGACCGAAGAAAAACTGTTCGTCAACACAAGGACAATTCGTATTTCTGATATCGATTGTAATTCTTCCACAGGAAGAATTAAGATAGGAGTGCGGACATTACCAAATTTCCAACCTGTACACCCAACTTCTAACAAATTTGAAATTCCAGAAGAAATAGTATATGAAGGAAAATCACAGAGATCTTACTTACATTATGGTAGCCCTAGGGTTGATAAAGCTGTCTCCAACGGCAAACGAACGAGAAGAGCTATTTTAGCTAGCACTGGTAGTAATGAATCATTGACCGCTTCACCGCGTCAAGTGAAACGTATAAAAGCCATTCAAAGGAAGTCTATTAGTGAAGCACCTCCCAAGTGGGTAGAAATTAGAGGCCTAGAAGCAGCAGCGGAGGAAATCAAAACGAGAAAAAACGTCGTCCAAATGATCCATTCAAAACTAATGAGCTTGGACCATCAAGTTGACGCGATCCTCAAGTATCTGATGGAAGGTGTACAATTCTTCGGTGAGTTAGACTCCATTTCAACGGTAATACTGCGAGCTTATAACAATGAGAAAAAAATTCAGGAACAACTCGAAGCAAATAAAACTTAGAGCTTTGAATCACTTTAGCTGCATTTCGAAATAAAAATTTATTATACCCCTATTTTATTTTAAATAAATAAATAAATATATATTTAAAATATATACGTACATAATGGTTAGTGCCTACTTTATTCGGCAAAATAATTTAAGTTTCGAGACTATTGTAAGATAAATATTTTAATAGTGGGAGAACACCTAAGAGGGACAAAAAGGAGGAAAGAGGAACAAGAACTACCTACGTATTGAGCTGCGTTCAAATTCTATATATAGCGCAGCCAAACTTCTAAAAGCACTGGAGATAAGTTAATCAAGAAAGATGTCGACATTATTTTCAAACTCAAAAGCGGAACCTGGAAAGAAAATTGTGGGATATACTTGTGAGATCAGGATGCTTCGCAACGTGCATGACATCCAATGTTTTCCAAGAAAGGTCTTAGTCATTTGAAGTATCCACCTTGTATAACTGTGAAACAAGGCTGCTTAAGTTTTATGCCTAAGGTGTCAATTATCTCCCAAACAAACAATCTATTCTTGTTATAAAATAATTCATAATAATAGGGGTTTTAAAAAAATCCGCCCGGGGCGGTTAGACGAAAAAATTCCATTTCACGAAACTATTTTTTTGAAACCAAATAACCGCCCGCGGGAGCCAACTCGGATGGGCGGACTTTTGGAAAACCCCGGCAATATTTAAAACAGGTACAAAGAATCCTTGGTAAGACAGTAATCAACGAGGACCTGACCGCATTATGAAGATATATAGCTTTACAACACCAAAAAGCAAGCCGTAACAACAAAAAACAGTCATAATTACACATCTAAGTAATAAAAATACTTCATACAAACTCATAGCAAATCAGTAGAATTCGGTGAAATACAAAGATGAATAGGAAAGCACTCAAGAATTTCAAAATGCGCCTCAATACTGACGTCAGTAAGCATTTGGATCCCGTCGGAGGGTGGACATTGCCAATGGACACCATTAAAGAAAGTGTCCGAATAGAAAGGCAATCTAAATGTCCGAAGCGTGTGTAGGAAAGTGTTAAAATCACGAAAGTTCCAAGGTCTACCACTGCAAAGCTAAAATAAGAGGGAAGATTAATGCTCAAATATGAACATATCACATACAAAAATGATTAGTTCAGTTCTTTGTATGGCCTACACTCGAGTAAGGTTCTTCTATAATGTGCAACTATTATGAGCAATAACTATTATAATATTTATTTATTTATATCAAATGGCAGGCATTTTGATAGTTATCATAAGCCCTTTAGTTAACTTCAGGCTTCACAGAGAAGAAGAAACATCAAAGTGAAAAAAGTCGAGAGGGGGAGGGGGGGGGAACAAAAGAGTATTTCAAAAATGTAAGAGACAGACACAAAGGTAGAGTGAAAAAGGTGAGGTGAGTACTGTAAAAGTAGTCGAATATGACTTACAGTGAGGTGATGGTGTTTTGAAGTCGGATGTCAACTGCCGAATAATAGACTTTTTTGCCGTATGAGTATACGTTGCCCAGGGTGCACCACATGGAGGTAAGTCTATCACACACCCCACTATTATAATATTATATGACCAAAAATCAATACCAATAGTGACCGACTCGGCTCGAAATATAGGCGCAAATACACTAGAACACGAACGACAGGACATATCACTACGATAATAAAGCCATCCCCAAAGGTGAGGACAATCAAGATTCGAACTCTGTCTGACATGACCTCGACTTTGATAGGTCAAATTAAAAATGTCCAAAGTTCATTAACCTAAGAAGATCCTGTGGTGAACGTTGATGACATAAAACAGCCAGTTGCCTAAAATTGAAGCCCTATTTAAACTGTTAGATAATAATAGAGGTCTCTGGGATACAAGAGAATCGATATTTAGTTTAGATGGTTTAAAGATGGTAAATGCTTAGTTGTTGAAAATCGGAGGCCAAGTGTCAAAAGTGAGAGAATCAATCAAAAGCAGTTCGAAATTCGGACTACGTTAAAGGCTAGCATGAAAATTCGTAATAAGCCAAAAAATGATTACTTGATATGGTGTAGCAAAGATAAACAACTTGGGAAGAGATGAGAAATGTCGGAGACGAGCAAGAGGTGCAGTCCAAGTTGGCCAGAGATGATTGACGCCGTTGTGACCAGAATCTAGCCAAGTTAAGGAAGACAGTCTGGAAGGAATTTGTAGATCTTCAATAAACTCTCGCTCATCGTAAAACAAACCCATTTCATAGATGAGCTGGTTCATAACAGAGCAACCCTTTGAGAACCCAATAACAGCAAAAGGAACGCCAATTGAAGCGCCTTCAACCCTAGAAACCGCGTTAGTTATGAGAGCATCTAGGTGGCGCCAAGCTGCAAATGAAGTTCCGCCGACATTATTGATTCCCGAATAGTCGGGTGCACCAGCCGCATTGTAACGAACAAAATTGTCGTAAAAAGCGAATGCATTTTGCGACCAGCGAGAAGCTCGAATAATCCACAACTGAACGCCAGTGTTTGAACCGACTCGGTCAAGCAGGAGTTTCGCAACGGATTCGAAGCTCCACTTTTCTGCAAGATTCCCGAATTGGCTGTGTGCAGACATAATAACTGATTCATTCTAACGAAATAATAAAACAGAAATATGGCATTTAAAAATCAGAGGAAGTGAAACGCATAATTACAAGTGAATAGAAATAAATGATTCTTGCTAACCTGTAAGTCACCACAGAAGAGAACAATACTAATGATGGGTTGATCTCCGTTCGAAAAGAAGAAAATGTCATTTTTTAGAGAGTCTCTTCCCTGGACTTTCGATAAACTCACGGTCTTCATATTTTCTTGGCTTGCCATGCAGCATAATCATCAAAATTTTGAAACTAGCTATAATCAAGAGAACTAAATTTTCCGCACTAATTTGAACTGCGCTCCACCAATTAACAAGAACCAAATACTTAAATACTCTATTTTGATATTCACACAAATTTTTTAATTATATTACATGTATTTTCATATATAAGAACATACTTTAGTTCTTTTTTAACAATCTCAACTATCCTGGGCTCACTGGTACTTGAGACAATCAATGTCAACTATCCTGGTCATCAATGGCTCCAAGTCTTCACTGATCGGTCTTACATAGAATATCGAGCAACGTTGGTGTGGTGTCTATTCTGAACTCTTCTTCAGCGGGACATAATAGATCCGCTTTTGAAGGAGAAATAGACAGTGGGACACAATAGATCCGCTTTCGAAGGAGAAATAGAAGCCAAGGAAGCGGGACACAATAGATCCGCTTTTGAAGGAGAAAGAGAGACCATCAGGAGAGCACGGACATAATAGATCCGCTTTTGAAGGAGAAATAGAGGCCAGCAGGAGAGCACATTCCGCTTTTGAAGGAGAAATAGAGGCCATTAGGATAGCACCATGACAATTATGTTGCCTGGATACGAAATTCACCAAAGCGGTGAGATAATTATGATGCCTCGATACGAAATTCACCAAAGCAGTATAGACTCTATTGGAAACAGAGAGACACCCAAAAGCTAAATTCACCAAAGCGGTGATACTTTGGGACTCACAGTCAGGTTTACCAAAGCGGTGATACTTTCGGACTCACAGTCAGGAAACACCAAAGCGGTGATACTTTCGGACTCACAGTCATAATAGACCTCAATTTGAAACAGAGAGCCACCCAAAACAGCTGAGATAATACCCAAAACAGCTGAGATATACGAATGTAAAAAACTCTATCAGCTACTGAGAGAGAAAGCTGCATGAGATAAAGGAATGTAGAAAACTCTATGAGCTGCTGAGACGAAAAACAAAACAGTGGAAAACGCTATGAGCTGCTGGGAGAGAAAAACAAAACAGTGGTTCAACAAAACAGCTGAGATAAACGAATGTAGAAACCTCTATCAGCTGTTGATGAGATAAAGGAATGTAGAAAACTCTATCAGCTGCAGAAAACAGCTGAGATAAGGAATGTAGAAAACTCTATGAGCTGCTGAGACGAAAAACAAAACACTGGTCCTACAATGGATTCCTGGTCACTGTGGCATTGAAGGCATGGGCTTGCTGACACACTTGCTAAGAAGGGGACAACGATATTACAATGCATGGACCGCTTGCTAAGAGGGGGACTACGATTTTGCAATGCATGGACCGTCCGATGTCTTTCCACACAATGAAGGCCTTAATCAGAAGAGTATTCCAGAATGTCTTTCCACACAATGATGGCCTTAATCAGGAGAGAATTACATTCAAGGACACAATGAAGGCCTTAATCAGGAGAGAATTCCAGACCTCGTGGTGCAACGAAATTAAAGCTCGAACAAAAGAGAAACGGTGGACAGTGGCAATCTCCGACATACCCGACTGGCCAAGA